ACACACACACACACACACACACACACACACAGTCTGCATTTTGTTTTGTAGTTATTTGTCTAAAAATCTTATTTCACTCTTCCACTGCTTCTTCTCATTTTGGAGCTCAAAGTTTCAAATTTTGTTTCTAACAGGAACTCTGTTGTGATACAAAGTAAAATTTATAAATGCTTCAATGTCTAAAAGCACAGAAAATTTTATTTTTGTAATCTTGTCCAACATAAAAAGCCTCAACACTCACCTCAAAGAATTTCTAAAACCAGTTGGTCTGTTAAAAAAGAAAAAAATTGTATGGGTCTTATTGATGGGTTCTTCTCTAATGAAACGTTTCGTCTCTCCTCCTGTCAACGATAGCCATGTGATGTGAGTATCAGTCACATGGAGGCAGGGCTTAAAAGCCTGAATTTTGCCTGAAACTCTCAGACTGAAGAAGTCTCTTGGAGGAGAGACGAAACGTTTCATTAGAGAAGAACCCATCCAGAAGACCTATACAAAGAACCACGTGGTTACCTAAAGTACTCTTAGATCAAACAAGTTAAAGTAAAGAGTGGAAAGTACCGTGAATGAGGTGGAAAACAGGCACTGCAACAACACTAAGAGGAGCTGTAACAAACCACAGCACGTACGAGAGCAAAAACACAGTGAGGACACACAAAACTGCCAAAGATGCAACGGGACATGACAAAAGGAAGAGCTGCACAGCTCACGTACGAAGGTGCAGGAAGTGCAACAAGTTGGGACACTTTGAAGTCCATGCAAAACTAAAACACTGAGTCAGGACTGAGGCTGTAGTAGATTCAGATGAAGATCCATTTTTCATAGGAGAGCTTTTCCAGCTGGGAGCTGCAACTGGGTTAAAGGCAACAGTCTGAGGAGTCAGGCTCAGAAACAGATTGGGATGTCGAGCTATGTATGAATGGCAGCCTAGCGGATTTCACAAGTACTGATACTACTGTCATGACAGAAATGACTTTCAGTAAGCTACAGTAAAGACCTAAACTGGCCCAATCCAGATTCCACCTTCAACTTGTGCGTAATCACTGAATCTGTGCGTCAGGACAGTTATTCTCCATAATAAACAGTCAGGACGGAGAAATCACTGAAAACATCCTCATCATCACTCTGACAGAACTCTGAGAACAGAGTGGGTCAGAGAGAAACTGGAAACATCAAGCAGGCAAAAGCGAATAAAAAAAAACATGGAAAAGACCAGGAAGCTGCAGTGCAGATGTCCTGCGCTGACACTCCTCCATGCAGAGCTGTGGAGGATGAAATTCCGTGGAGTGAGCTCTGACCCTCTGGAGGCTGTGATCCAGAGGAGATACAAGCTTGTGAAACAGCTTCATACAGCTAGTGTGACAGGCGCTGGGCTGACAGAGGAACTCCTTTAGACTACAGAGGTACGTAACATATCACATCTGATTGAGCAGATGCAAACTGAGTCACTCACCAAGTCAGTCTATTGTATTATCAAAAACATCTTCCATAAACTTTTTTAGACCTCACTGTATGTCTCTGCCTGCCCTCGTCTGAATGCTCAGGGCATGCAGTTACCTGTTGACCTCTGTTTTTGGTTTCTAAGAAGGATGTCAACGAGAAACTGAGACGTTTATTCTGTAAACAGGACGTCCCAGTGGCTTTCAAACCCCAAAACACATTACGACAAAGATTAGTTCACCCCAAATATCCAGTTCCCTGGCAAAAACAGAGTAATATAGTATATGATCTTAAGTGTCAGGAGGACTGTGATCAGTCATACATTGGGGAAACAAAACAGCCACTGTTCAAAAGAATGAGCCAGCACAGACGAGCTACATCATCAGGCCAGGACTCTGCAGTTTACAATCATCTACAGGCCAGCGGTCACTCTTTCAGGGATGAAGATGTTCTCATCCTTGATAGAGAGGAACGTTGGTTTGAGAGAGGAGTAAAGGAAGCCATCTTTGAGAAGAAAAACCGTCCACCATTAAACAGAGGTGGAGGCCTCCGTGTCCAGTTGTCCTCCTCCTACAACGCTGTTATTGCAAGTATGACTCAGTCCCCTGTGAGCAAAAGGTGTGAATCAGGGTCCCAACGATAGTCAGGTGATGGAGCACATGACCCTCTATGAACAATAGAGCTAATCAAGCCTGTTGTTGGGTGATGGCCCTCTTTTGCATATGACCAACCTGTTTGTCCACCATGTGGAGGCAGTGCTTATAAGGCTGAGTTCATCTGAAACTCATCAGACTGAAGAAGTCTCTTGGAGGAGAGACGAAATGTTTCACTGAAGAAGAACCCATCCAGAGGACCCACTTATTTTTTCTTTTTGATACCTATGTCAACAATGTCTAAACATGAGTTCCCTCTTTGATATTTACCATATCATTCATTTCAGTGACCAACCACTTATGTGTACTATGCAAAATAAGGGGATTCAAGCAACAAAGATCAATTTACCTGACCTTCAGCTTTGACCTTTGACTCCAAAATGTTTTCAGCCGTGCGTTGGACCAGGAACAGTTATGATGTTAATTTGTACTGAAATCAATAGTTCTGTTCAGGAGATACAGTGCACACAAGACAGTGGCTGTGTCCAAATTCAGGGGCTGCTTCCTCTGAAGGCCGAATTTGACAGCCGTTTGTGCCACAGCACTGCACCGGAGGCTGTCCAAATTCAAAGGCTTTCCCCGATTTGAGGGACGGTCCAGATGGATCTTTCTTGACCCACCATATCCCACCATGCTTTGCAGGCCGGCTCCAGATTGTTTTCTTGCTCGTAATGGTGGACGAAGCGAGAGAAAGGAGTACAGTTTGAAATAAAAATCTGGAAGGTATAAAAAATAAAAGTTTCAAACTTGTCCTTTGTATAAACATGGTTCCTAATGTTGTTTTAATTTGGAAATAAAACGAGCTGGTAGGCTACAGTGAAATAAACAAATATTCTTCAAATATTGCCTTTAAGCTAATTTTGTTGTTTTAATTTATAATACTAATATATTGATATTTTGCTCATTTGTTTGCTAATATCGATTTTGCTTCTTTTTAGCATTGTCGAGGCTGCTTGACCACAGGACACATGTAAGGGTGGGAATAAAATCACTCTAAAAATGAAATGTTGGATTTACTTAACCATGTTATGTGACCCCGTTCCACTTAACTGAGTTGAGTAAATTCAAAGCAACATGCTCATGTTCTTTGGTTAAAAAA